TTAAATATTCATATCAAAAATTACCTAAATGCCTAAAAATTTGTGATTAGGGTTGTTGTTCCTTTGCCAAAATTTTGTTTAGTATCATGAAATTCCCCCACTCCTCCCACATACCTGCCAAAAATAAAGGTTTCAGAAAGGAAGTTCTATACAAACTCAAACTGGTTTATCATTTTCATCTTCAGTACACATGCACAAGCCAATAAAAATGAGTCAATATTTCACCAAGTTCCATAGCAAAAAAAAAAAAAGCAAAATGTCAAAATTCATCTCATCAGCAATAGGATAATAGCCAGAGAAGACATTTTATTGTCCATTTCTCAAAAAGAAAACTTAATGTCATGATTTATGCTATCCATCATGGTCCAGTCACCTTCACCATCAGTCACTTCATCAATGTGCCCCATGCTTTATATAGGAAAACAACCTACTAACCAACTACAAGATGGACATGTACTTGGAGTTTTTTTGTAACCTGCTATGGTCGAATGTTTGTGTCCCCACTAAATTCATATGTTGGAATCCTACCCCTCAGAATGATGGTATTTGGAGGTATGGGACTTTTGCAGGTTATTACATCATGAGGGTGGAGCCCTTGTGACTAGAATTAGTGGCCACACGGGCCGGATACGGTGGCTCACACCTGTAATCCCAACACTTTGGGAGGCTGAGGCAGATGGATCACAAGGTCAGGAGTTTGAGACTAGCCTGGCCAACATGGTGAAACCCCATCTCTACTAAAAATACAAAAATGAGCTGGGTGTGGTGGCGGGTGCTTGTAATCCTAGCTACTCTGGAAGCTGAGGGAGGTTGCAGTGAGCAAAGATCATGCCATTGCACTCCAGCCTGGGTGATCGGGCGAGACTCCATCTCAAAAAAGAGAAGTAGTGCCCACAGAAAAGAGACCCTATAGAGGTAGCTAGCCCCTTCCACTATGTGAGGACACATTGAGTAGGCACCATCTGTGAACCAGGAAGAGGTCCTTACTGGACACCAAATCTGCTGGTGCCTTGATCTTGACCTTCTCAGCCTCCAGAACTATGAGAAATAAATTTCTGTTTATAAGTTATGCAGTCTATCGTATTTTGTTATAGTAGCCTTAACATACAGAGACACAGCCTTTATGGGTGTAATTGGGCTATTCCATTCAAGTTATTGCCCAGATCCCTTTTGAATTAACTGGCTAACATTTCAAGATAGGTGTCTTCGTAAATTTTGTGCTGCTATATTAGAATACCACAGATGAGGTAATTTATAATGAACAGAAACTTACTTGCTTACAGTTATGGAGGCTGGGAAATTTAATATCAAGGTGGTGGCATCTGGCAGAGGCCTTCTTGCTGTGTTACCAAATGGCAAAAAGGTAAAGACAGAGGAACTCTGTGTCCTTATGTAGTGGAAGAGCAGAAAAGCAAAGAGGCACAAACACACCCTTTTTAAATGGCCTTAATCCCCGCCTGTGACAACTAAGCCCTCATGACCTAATCACCTCTCTAAGATCCTACCTCTTAATAATGTTACAATGGCAATTCAATTTCAACGTGAGCTTTGGACAGGAGAAACATTCAAACCATAACTGTCAGCATAGAATCAACTTAAATGACTTGCCCAATAACCTAGAATGGAACATGCACTCCGGGCTATGTCAGCTGTGTTCTAATTAACTGTGCTGATGTTTCTGAGCGTAAATGGCTTAGAATGTATAGTCAGTTAAATAGTTTCTCTCCAAATACATGTCTACCTGGAATCTCAGAATGTGCACTTATTTGGAAGTAGGGTTGTTGCAGATGTCATTTGTTAAGATGAGTAATGCTTCTACAAACCAAAGAACACCACCAGAAGTAAGGAGAGAGGCACAGAAAAGATTCTCCCTCAGAGCCTCCAGAAGAAACCAATATTGCTGACATCTTGATTTCAGACTTCCAGTCTCCAGGATTATGAGATAAAAAAATTCCTTTTGTGTTAAGCCACCCAGTTTGTGGTACTTTAATGTAGTAGCCCTAGCAAATTAATATAAAAGGTAAGTATGATGCTTTAAAAAGCATCAATTACAGGCTTCAACGTAGTGTAGCTATGGCATCTGTCACCAGGTTAATTGCCAGAATTGACTGACTGCTCTGGCATCTTCCTAGTCCAGAGTTCCCTTCCTCTGAGAGCTCCATGTGTGTTCTTCCCAAAGTGTCAACTCAATCAAAAAGAATGACATTTCCAATCTGACAAAGTCTATTTTTAGACGAGTATGTGGGGAGCTGTACTCCCCGGCTAGAACTCTCCAATAAGCACTGAAATCCCTTTGCAAGCAAATGTAGGTTAGCCAAATCTGTTTTTACAAAGCGCCTCTCTCCACCTGTGATTTTGTTATAGTATCAGTCAAATCACAGCTCCGTATCAGTTTCACAGAAGGCATGTAAATTTGTAAGATTAAACTTACATAATCCTTGACCTTGATGAAGTCCTAATCATTTCCAAGACAAGCCTTTATATTTTCTTTGATATTATATCAGAGCAGTTACTCTAATTTATCAGAGTAGAAGCATATATATATATATATAATATATATATATATATTATATATATATATTATATATATATATATATATATATATATATATATAGAGAGAGAGAGAGAGAGAGAGAGAGAGAGAGAGTCTTGCCTTGTTGCCCAGGCTGGAGTGCAGTGGCACAATCTTGGCTCACTGCAACCTCCACCTCCTTGGTTCAAGCTATTCTCTGCCTTAGCCTCCCGAGTAGCTGGGATTACAGGCACCTGCCACCACACTCAGCTAATTTTTTGCATTTTTAGTAGACCCGGGGTTTCATCATCTTGGCCAGGCTGGTCTTGAACTCCTGACCTCGTGATCCACCCACCTTGGCCTCCCAAAGTGCTGGGATTACAAGCATAAGCCACCATGCCCAGCTGCTGAAAAATATTTACCTCTATTTTACTTTCTTATTGAAATATTATTTATATCATAAAGCAAGACTCTAAATGTTAAGGTAAAACTTCATGTTGTAAGGAATTTCAAACTTTCCCTCTGGGAGTTCTGTAGTTGAGTCTGCTGAAATAAATTGACAATAGACAAATTAACAGGAGAAGGAATACAATTTTTTTTTTTTTTTTTTTTTTGAGACAGAGCCTTGCTATCTGTCATCCAGGCTGGAGTGCCATGGGATGATCTCGGCTCACTCTGCCTCCCAGGTTCAAGCAAGTCTCCTGCCTCTGTCTACTGAGTGGCTGGGACTACAGGCACGCACCACCATGCCCAGCTAATTTTTATTTCTTTAGTAGAGATAGAGTTTTACCATGTTGGCCAGGCTGGTCTTGAAATCCTAACCTCGTAATCTGCCCACCTCAGCCTCCCAAAGTGCTGGGATTACAGGTGGGAGCCACTGCACCCAGCTGGCATACAAATGTATTAATGTGTGCATATGCACAAGAGTCACCCAAAATATGAGATTCAAGGAAGAGTCAGATGGCTGAAGTTATAATACCCTTATAGTTAAGTTATATAGGAGAGAGGGAAGTGGGGAATGTAGACAATTTGAGAAGAGTAAATGATGTTTAGGTAAAATTAACCATCCCAAAGGACAGACAGTAGCCTGAAACAAAGTTTCCCTGTGCTCTAGTGAAGGTGGCAGCAAGTTACAAAAGGAGAGGGGCAGAACGGCACTGTGAACAAAGGTTGCCCTATTTCGTGGAAAAAGTCTCTCAGTTTAAAAAAAAAAAAAAAAGTCTCAGAGCAGCCTCCAGAAGAATAAGAATAGCCTGTCTGGGCATGGTGATGACTTTTAATCTTCACTAATCTTTACTGGTTATTTGATGCAATTCCTAAGGAGGGAGTTTAAGACAGTAGCATTTACTTTAGAACTTCCCTCAGTCAGATAATCTCTTTTGTTCAAAGCACTCAGCATGCTAAAGCCCCATATTTTGGGATTGTGTTTTCTGAGCCCCAGCACTCTGGAAAGGACCCATGAAAATTAATTATACCCCTAGGAAACTCATCAAGTGCAGACCTAGTCCATTCCTCTTTATATTAAAAGGAAATCTTGACATTAAAATATTTCTATTAAGCTTCAACATATTATAAAACAAAATGAAAACTATTCATTTTAATCTGTATAGAAGTAGAAAACCAGTTATCTTAATAAATTGCTTAGGGGATAGATTCTGATCCCAGGTCAGCCTCTGAAGCATCCAGTGAACTTGGCTGTACAGAATCTAAAATGCACTGAGAAGGAAGTCTTTAGTGTACAGGGTTGACATCAAATTTAACTATAGAAACATTTCAGTTATCTATCAAGTGGGCAACTCTTGATGATTCCACTGAATAAAAAATAATTGCTGCTAATTAGAAGCTACCTTTTTTTATGTCTCAACTAGTCTTTGAAAAGAGATTCCCAGTGATATTATTTACTGAATTATTTTAGTATTCACTTTGTGAAGATACTAGTATTTGTCATATTCAGAAAAATCCTTTAAGAAACATAGATGAAATATTCTGTAAAACATTGAAATAAAATATTTCAAAAAATATATTTTCAGGCCAGGCACAGTGGCTCATGCCTGTAATCCCAGCACTTTGGGAGGCCAAGGTAAGCAGATCACTTGAGCCCAGGAGTTCAAGACCAGTGTAGGCAACATGGTGAGACCCATCTTATTCTTTTTTAAAAAAAAAAAAAAAAAAAAAAAAAGGGCTAGGTGCGGTGGTTCATGCCTGTAATTCCAATGCTTTGGAAGGCCGAGGTGGGTGGATCACCTGAGGTCAGGAGTTCGAGACCAGTCTGGCCAACATGGCAAAAACCCATCTCTACTAAAAATACAAAAAAAAAAAAAAAAAAAAAAAAAAAAAGCCAAGCATGGTGGCGGGTGCCTGTAATCTGAGGCAGGAGAATTGCATGAACCAGAGAGGCAGAGGTTGCAGTGAGCCATGATTGCGCCATTGCACTCCAGCCTGGGCAACAAGGGCGAAACTCCATCTCAAAAAATAAAATAGGGGAAGATGGCAGAGCCGGTTACCAAGTCTGTGCTGTTTGTGTGTCTAGGTAACATTTGTCGATCACCCATTTCAGAAGCAGTTTTCAGGAAACTTGTAACTGATCAAAACATCTCAGAGAACTGGGTCATTGACAGTGGTGCTGTTTCTGACTGAAACCTGGGCCAGTCCCCAGACCCAAGAGCTGTGAGCTGCCTAAGAAATCATGGCATTCACACCACCCATAAAGCAAGACAGATTACCAAAGAAGATTTTGCCACATTTGATTATATGCTATGTATGGATGAAAGCAATCTGAGAGATTTGAATATAAAAAGTAATCAAGTTAAAACCTGCAAAGCTAAAATTGAACTACTTGGGAGTAATGATCCACAAAAACAACTTATTATTGAAGATCCCTATTATAGGAATGTCTCTGACTTTGAGACGGTGTACCAGCAGTGCGTCAGGTGCTGCAGAGCATTCTTGGAGGAGGCCCACTGAGGCAGTTTCGTGCCCTGCTGTGGCCAGCCTGACTAGACCCCACCCTGAGGCCCTGTGTTTCTCAGCCAGTGTGTTTCTAATGTTCCAGAGCCCAAAGCCCCAGCTCTTTGTTCAGTTAACTCACGGTTTCTTACCTTAAAAAATAATTGTAGATGGAAGTCAGTTGTGTTTGGCAGAAGAATAAATAAAAACCTTTGATTCAGACAGTTTATGGGGTATATTAAGCATTCTTAGACTAGTTGAACATCTGACTTTGCCCCAATTACAAAAATAGTTGAACAAACAACATAAAATATAATGAAGAAAAACCTCACTTGAAGGCCCAGGTCAACATCTAAGCCCATTGAGACCTAGATCATCAAGTCTACCTCTTCAGTAGGTGTGTGTGGATGGCCTGATGGCGGGCAGCTGCCCTCTGCTCCCCTGCGCTACCTCTCCCTTCCCCAGGGCCTTTTATGGATTCACAGTAGCCCTCTGGAGGAGCTCACAGTATAGATTAGAAGTATTTTGATTTATACACACCCATAGTGCTCACTTGTATATTGAAAAGATAGAGAAGGCAGAATGATTAATCGTATCAGTCATTTGCACCTTTAATACTTCTCAATTTTGTTGAGTTTACTTCATGAGGAGGTCAGCTCATTTGCTCCCATCTGAACCACTTTGCCTCTGAAACTTAATTTCCTCCAGAAAGGAGGACACTTGTATGCTAGTCTATCTGTGGTCAGTTGAGGAATATGACTTTTGTATGCACATGTAACCCAAATGTCCAATATAAATTGGCTTATTTTTAAAAATAATTTTAAAAGTTGGGAAGAGTTATATTTGGCATGCATAAATATTGATTATTAAGTATTATTCATCAACATTTAATAAATGTATAGGCAGATACCGGTAATTTCCGTGTATTTTGAAATAATGTCAAAATCATATGAATATTTCAAAATAAACAGGGAAGTCACAAAAATACAGCTAGAGATATAAAAAAATATTTTCAGCAAATATAATACCTCTCAACACCATAGGTTCTGCAGCTTCTTTGTAAGCTGTCTCTAGAAACACAAGAAACCCTGAAATGGGTCTAGTAAGGGAAAAGAGAAGCAGGAATTATCAGTACCAAGCTGCAGCAAAAGAATGGGGAGTTTTCACGTGTTAACCTTTCTGTTTTCTCTTTCCCTTTTCCCTTCCTCCTTTGTCCTGCGATGTCCCATGCCATTAGAGCACCACACTTAGTTTTCTTTTTTGATCATCTATCCCCTTCAGGAAGCTGATGGAAGTTATACATTTTCTCTTCAGAAAATGATGCATATACTCATACAATTATGAACACCACTCTAGGAGTATTTATAGATTCTCTGCATTTAGGGATGACCTAAAACGCTCCTCTTTCCTCATTATGAGCCTCTGCCTCAACCTCTTACCAAATCTTTCAATAAAAGAATCTGATAAACTCATTCATATCCAAATACAATAAGGCTTAATATTTGGCCATTCCCTCATAGAAGAGAATTATAATTGAAGTGACATCATCTGTAACTGTAGAATATAGCATCATTGTACTATGTGGGAGTACCATTTACACCCTAAGGACTCCTTCCTGGAGACCCAAAATCAAACCCTCATATAAGGTGAACTTAATTTTGGGTGCCCACCCTTGAAATCAATTCAGAGTATATAGAATTGAATTCATCTTTCTCCCAAAAAAATTAATTCCACTTCATTATTTTTTCTTTATTTAAATTAAGACAGTCTCCCTCTGTTGCCTAGGCTGGAGTACAGTGGTGTGATCTCAGTTCTCTGCAACTTCTACCTCCTTGGTTCAAGCGATTCTTCTGCCTCAACCTCCCAAGCAGCTGGAGATCACAGGTGCCCACCACCACACCCGGTTAGTTTTTGTATTCTTAGTAGAGATGGGGTTTCATCCTGTTGGCCAGGCTGGTACTGAACTCCTGACCTCAAGCAATGCACCCGCCTCGGCTTCCCAAAGCGCTGGAATTGCAGGTGTGAGCCACAGCACCTAGACTAATTCCACTTTCATTGCTTTCATAATCCAAGTTCAGAATCTTGAAATTGCCTTGATCCTTCACTCTTCCCTCATCCATCATCAAACACTGTCGTTTTTCTTGATAATGTCTTTCACATCCATCCCTTCCTCTATGTATTGGTTTCCTATTGCCTCTGTAACAAATGACTCCAAACTTAGTGGCCTAAGACAACACAAAATTTATTCTCTTACAAATTCTGGAGGCCAGAAGTCTGAAATGAGTCTTACTGGGCTAACATCAACATATTGACAAGGCTGGCTTCCCTCGGGAGACTACAGGAGATGATCCACTCCTTGCCTTTTCCAGCTTTTAGAAGCCGCCCATATTTAATAGTTCATGGCTTTATATCCCTTTCTCCTAACTTCGACTCCTCTGATTCTTTCATGTAAAGACTCTCATGATTACACTGGGTTGACCATGATAATCCCAGATAATCTCCTCATCTCAACATCTTTAGTCATATTTGCATTTAAAAAACATACGCGCAGGTTCTGGGGATTAGGACATAGACATCTTGGCAGAGGGGGACACATTATTCAGCCCACTGTACTCTATAATATCCACCTTTTCCACAACCCTACTTCTAGTCCTTAGCTGTACCACTGAACTAGTTCAACATTTCCTGAACTGGTTTTCCCGACCCCAGCCTCTCTTCCAATTCCCCATCCATTCTACATGCCAGTGACAAATATTCATCAAAACTGTTCTTCATCCTATTCCCCATACCGATTCCAAGGCCCTGAACCTAGATTGCTTGTTTGTTTGTTTGTTTTTTCAGACAGAGTTTCACTCTGTCACCCAGGCTGGAGTGCACTGGCACCTTAGCTGACTGCAACCTCCACCTCCCAGGCTCAAGTAATTCTTCTGCCTCAATCTCCCACGTAGCTGAGATTACAGGTGTGTGCCATCATCCTGGCTAATTTTCATATTTTTTTTTTTTAGTAGAGACAGGGTTTCAGCATGTTGGCCACGCTGGTCTCGAACTCCTGACTTAAGGAGATCCACCTGCTTTGGCCTCCCAAAGTGCTGGGATTACAGGCAAGAGCCACTGTGCCCAGTCCACTCTTAATGAACTATCTCCACACTGTCCCACTACCTATATACAGCAATTATTTGTTCAGATCATACCCCCTTCTTGCCTTCAAAATTCTCCCATTATGCCAAAGTTTACTTAAGTCCCACCTCTTCCCTGACTTCATCTCAGCAGTTCCAAGTCACAATGTTTCTACTTTCTTTTACTTCCTACAGCATTTTTTGTTAGGGTGATGCCTGTAGCATTTATCACTTGCTACTAAGTATAGGTCCTTTCTCCACCTCTTTCTCACGCATGATCTTAGACAAGTCATTTCCCATGCTTCTGTTTTCTTGTTTCCTTGTCTATAAAACTGACAATATTTATGTTGTTGTTGTGGTTTTGTGAAAGAAAGAAAGAGAAATAGAAAGGGGGAGAGAGAACAGGAGTCTTGCTCTATTGCCCAGGCTAGAATGCAATCTAAAAATAAGTATTAAAAACCTCTTTTATGCCGATAATTGTGCTTAACAGCAGAGACAGGAAGGAATAAGGGAAGAAAATAACAAACAGCCAACCAATACTTCATTTAAGTCTGTGAAATGCTATGCAAATGCTGAAGAGTGATTTACTTCCAATTATGTGGTCACTTTCAAAATAGGTGTAATATGATACTGAGAAAAATGTATGTTCTGTGGACCTGGGGTGAAGAATTCTATAAATATTCACTGAGTTTACTTGTTCCAGATCCGAGTTCAAATCCTAGATGTTCCTGTTAATTTTTTATCTCATTGATCCGTTGAATATTAAAAATGTGGCATCAAAGTCACCCGCTATTATTGTGTGGGAGTCCAACTCTCTTATTAAGTCATTAAGAACTTGTTTTATGCATCCGGGTGTTCCTATATTAGGTGCATATATATTTATGATCATTGACTCCTGTTGTTCCATTGATCCTTTTACCATTATGTAATGTCCTTCTTTGTTTCTTTTAGTCTTTGTTACTATTAAAGTCTATTTTGTCAGAGACGAAAGTTACAATGCCTGTTTTCTTTTTTTTTTTTTTTTCCTCTCCATTTGATTGGTAAGTCTTCCACCAACACTTTGGTTTGAGTCTTTGTGTGTCCTTGCTTATGAGATGGATCTGGATACAGCAAACCAATGGGTTTTGACTTTTTATTCAATTTGCCTGTCTGTGTCTTTGATTGGGGCATTTAATCCATTTAAATTTAAGATTAATATTGATGTTTGTGAGTTTAATATTGTCGTTTAATGCTAGCTGGCTATTTTGCCCATTGGTTGACATGGATCCTTCATTATGGAGATAGTCTTTACGTTTTGGTAAGTTTTTGGGATGACTGATACTGCTTGTTCCTTTCTGTGTATAGCGCTTCTTTCAGAAGCTCCTGTAAAGCAGGCCTGGTGGTGATGAAATCTCTGAGTGCTTGCTTGTTCACGAAAAATTTTATTTTTCCTTCATTTATGAAGCTTAATTTGGCTGGATATGAGATTCTGGGTAGAAAGTTCTTTTCTTTGAGGATATTGAATATTGACCCCCACTCTCTTCTAGTTTGTAGGGTTTCAGCTGAGAGCTCTGCTGTGAGTCTGATATGCTTCCCTTTATGGGTAACCTGACCTTTCTCTCTAGCTGCCCTTAGAATTTTCTCCTTTATTTCAAACCTGGTGAGTCTAACGATTATGTGTCTTGGGGTTCCTCTTCTTGAGGAATATCTTTGTGGTGTTCTCTGTATTACCTGAAGTTGAGTATTTTCCTACCTTGCTAGGTTAGGAAAGTTTTTTTGAATAATATCCTGAAGAACATTTTCCAGCTTGGAATCATTCTCTTATGACATTCAGGTACACCTATCAAACGTAAATTAGGTCTTTTCACATAGTCCCATATTTCTTGGAGACTTTGCTTATTCCTTTTTACTCTTTCTTCTCTA